TGTGGCTGGCTGACCTTGGCAAGCTGGATCTTTACTCTTGCCCGGTGGTCCAGGCCAGTGGATGAGAAGCAGATCAACGTACTTCATCTGCCACAGGAACACAAGTTTCGGAAGAGATGCACACACGTACGAACAGACATACATGACTGTTATTATTCATACAAACAAACAAACAGACAGACAGACAGATAGAAATACAGACAGACAGACAGACAAACAAACAAACAGACAAACAGACAGACAAACAAACAGACAAACAGACAGACAGACAGACAGACAAACAAACAGACAAACACACAGAAAGACAGACAAACAGACAGACAGACAAACAAACAGACAAACAAACAGACAAACAGACAGACAAACAGACAGACAGACAGACAGACAAACAGATAGACAAACAAACAGACAAACACACAGAAAGACAGACAAACAGACAGATAGACAGACAAACAAACAGACAAACAAACAGACAAACAAACAGACAAACAAACAGACAAACAGACAGACAAACAGACAGACAGACAGACAAACAGATAGGCAGACAAACAGACAGACAGACAGACAGATAGACAGACAGATAGACAGACATATAGTCAGACAGACAGACAGATATCTGGAAGAAGATTGTTTTCCACTCGATGACATATCACCAAATTTCTAGCAACAAGTTTTGCGTTAAATATCACAAAGCCGTAGATAGGCGAATCACACTGAAGGAGAAACATTTAGACTCAGCTAAATACTGCTTCACTCCGGATCTCTTCTGCACAATCTGCAGATACCCGGCCCATGGCAGAATTATTTTTCACGTCACCTTCGTCAAGGGTAGATAAACAAGAGTGTGCAACTCCCGGATGATTTGGCCCACGGTGGAACGCTTTGTTGACGTAATCTTTTCTACGACACACACGCTGCAAGTATTTTGGGAAGTTTGGCCTGGCGCACTTGGCCGGGCTTTACATTACAAGGTCAGCTCCCAGCACGCGCTCTCACACTGCTTTGCGGCAAAATGCCCATGCTCTGTACGAAGGTGACGTCAATATAAATTCTGCCATGGGCCGGGTATTTGCAGGTTGTGCACAAGAGATGCGGAGTGACACACTATTGTTTATCACCTCTTGCTGCTATTTAGTGACCTTGTCATCACACAAAATAACAGACCGAGGAACAGACATAGAGAAAGATGCATACATATAGACAAAAATGTGTCCTCATGCATAATTAAGAAGTAGTTGACGATCCCCTTAATGACGACAAACTGGCACTTAATTTCGACAGAAACAAGTACACAAGGGAAAAGTGACAGGACAATTGCACAGAGGGACAGAACCTATCATGGCTGTCTTCAATACGTTATCCCCGTTGCGCTCAGTCCTGTCCCTCTGTGCATTTCTCTTATGTCAAAATACGAACACACAAACAAATATCCTTTCCGCAAATATCAGGTTAGATTCTGAGAGAGTTCTGAATTTCATGGTAGTATCAGAAAGAAATGCCGGAATGCAAGAGTCTTGTTGGTACGAACGCTGAACAGGATATCATACCTGCTAACTATCCCGATTTTGGCCAGGACAGTCCCGATATCGAGGGTGGTAATTCGCACCCAAAAGTGTATTTGTCACATGCATCACAGCTACAGGTGTACACATTTCTAGGTATGCCATTGTCACGATCTCAGGTTTGCAAAGGTTGACAGGTATGCCATTGTCACGATCTCAGGTTTGCAAAGGTTGACAGGTATGCCATTGTCACGATCTCAGGTTTGCAAAGGTTGACAGGTATGCCATTGTCACGATCTCAGGTTTGCAAAGGTTGACAGGTATGCCATTGTCACGATCTCAGGTTTGCAAAGGTTGACAGGTATGCCATTGTCACGATCTCAGGTTTGCAAAGGTTGACAGGTATGCCATTGTCACGATCTCAGGTTTGCAAAGGTTGACAGGTATGCCATTGTCACGATCTCAGGTTTGCAAAGGTTGACAGGTATGCCATTGTCACGATCTCAGGTTTGCAAAGGTTGACAGGTATGCCATTGTCACGATCTCAGGTTTGCAAAGGTTGACAGGTATGCCATTGTCACGATCTCAGGTTTGCAAAGGTTGACAGGTATGCCATTGTCACGATCTCAGGTTTGCAAAGGTTGACAGGTATGCCATTGTCACGATCTCAGGTTTGCAAAGGTTGACAGGTATGCCATTGTCACGATCTCAGGTTTGCAAAGGTTGACAGGTATGCCATTGTCACGATCTCAGGTTTGCAAAGGTTGACAGGTATGCCATTGTCACGATCTCAGGTTTGCAAAGGTTGACAGGTATGCCATTGTCACGATCTCAGGTTTGCAAAGGTTGACAGGTATGCCATTGTCACGATCTCAGGTTTGCAAAGGTTGACAGGTATGCCATTGTCACGATCTCAGGTTTGCAAAGGTTGACAGGTATGGATGCTATGATCAAGCAGAAATTTCCGCTGGTCAATAATTTCGTCCAACTTCAAAGAAAGGGAGTTCGTCCGGTTGTAAATTGTGTCCATGGATCATAAGAGTGTATTGAAAAGCTGGACAAATTGACATTAGTCTGGAATTTGATTTAGTTCAAAAGCTCCATGGACGAAAATGACGAAATTAACTTCCAGACGAATATTTCTGCTTATACAGTGTGCCATGATCAAGTAGGACTCTGCACTGCAACGTTCCCACTGTGATAGAGTGGTCCCATGGTAACAGGACTTGGTCAAGCATGCGCATGCTCCAAAGTTGTTGCGCAATGATGTAGTGCCTGTTGTTGTTTTGAGCCCGATTTTGATGGCGGCTGGTATGTAGTCTTTTCCTTTTTGTACTTCCCGTTTCATGTTTGTTCAGTCCTAATAATTATAATATTCCCGTCCTATCCGGTTGTGTTGCTGTGGAGTCCGGGAGGAGAGTTTTCAGTCACAAGTGGTGCCGAAACCCGTTTGCTGAACCTAGTCTTATTCGTTTTTTCTGACAGTGTTTTTGGTCGACGGCCTGTATAGTGATGGCGTCGGGTCCTCGCGTGGACAATTTGCTGCGACCTTTTCGGGGGCGCGATGATAATCTGGATGAATTCTGGCAGAAGTTCCAGGTGGTGGCAGGCATCCAGAAGCTTGAGTCGTCAGCAGCCCGGATGGCCGTACTCCCATTGTATTTGTCGGGTGATGCATTCACTGTTTGGTGTGAGATGGCCAGTGATGATCAGAAGGACGAGGCCAAGGTAAAGCAGCGGCTCGTGGAGTCATTTTCAGTCACCCCTGCCGATGCCTACCACCAGTTTGTCAAGCGGAGGAAGCGTGCGGACGAAACTGTCGACGCCTACTTGGCGGATCTTCGGCGGCTGCAACGGCTGAGTGGACACAAGGAGGCAGCGGACGGCAAGGACCCGATCCTCTTGGAGCAGTTCCTGGTGGGGCTTCCGCCTCACTTCGCCGTGCAGCTTCGTTTGAATGCAGCCTCTCAACCTGCTGGGGCTACGGTAAGCTCAGTTGCAGCCCAGGCCCGTGCCCTTTGTGCTGCGGGCAGCTTAGTCAAGGAACCCGTTGCTGCTCTGACAGCCAGCCCTGCTCGACGACCCAGTGGCAGTTCCACCCCTAGTCGCCTCTGCTATGAGTGTCATCAGACTGGGCATTTGCGGCGCGATTGCCCGAACCGGCAGAGACGTCCTCCTGTTTGCTTTCATTGTCAGCAGCCCGGCCATGTCAAGCGTCAGTGCCCTCAGCTGAAGTCTAGTGGTGGTGCCAGTTCTTCTCAGACGCCCACTAGTACCGCCTGTGCTGCGGGCTCGGGCTCGTCGACCACGGGCAATGCCTGCCTCAGTGTCGTGGCAAGTCCCTGTTCGTCGCTGCCCAGGATTCATGTCTATAGTGAGGGCCAGGCCAGGCTGCGTGCTGCCGTGGATTCCTGCTCTAGTAAGTCCTTGATCAGCTATCGCGTTGTCTCCGAGTTGGGTGTACCCGTTCAGCTCGTAGAGTCCAACCCGCGCATTACCGCCATCGATGGGCAGGAAGTTGTGGTGTCTGGGCAAGTCCGGTTGACTGTTCATCGTGACGATGACAAAGTGCACCTGCCTGAAGTTACTGCTGATTTCCTCGTTGTCGACACCTTGGATGTGGTTGACGCTGATATCCTTCTGGGACTGGACATTATCTCCT